AACCAGTGGCGTTCGTGCATCTTCTCAATTTCTTTGCAACCTTAGACCACTGAACTTCTCCATTTTCTGTTCGACTCCACTTTTAACTTTCCTTTCTTCTCCTATTCTTCATCCAAATGGGCAGCCAAAAGACAGCAACCAAAACCGGCCTACGGATATGCGTGGTTAATGGTTGTATAAACTCAAACTCACTTCTTGCTATCAGCGAACCGTAGTAAGTCGCTTTCCATCGACACCTCATTCTTCAGTTATGGTGTATTTCATTCCACTTTTCAAATTACAAAATGTCCATAGAAAAGGAGCCGGGCAATTGAATCAAAATAACAAGACGCTCAGGTAACAACCGACAAAACTTAGATCACTGATTAAGACATATGCGAACAGCGAGGTTCCCTTTAAAATTTAGGTTCTTCTAGATTTTCGCGAAATGAGATGTATGTTGTAGACTGTTTGAAAATGCCATCTGTTACCGATGCTATTAGGACGACTGACCATAAGTTTGCTGCTCGATACGGGAGTGATACATACTTACAAGATCCATCTCATTGGGATACCTTCTTCGTATACGTTTGGTAAGCTATTTAATCTAAGAATGGTAATGTCCGTTGGTTGTATCCATCCCAACGCTAAACCGTCGATCTGGCTTCAGATTTTGTATTTCTGTTAAAATGAAATTCTCTAGCTGTATCATCCTATCCTTCAATTTCTCCCACCAACCAAACGCGGAGTCTTTCGGACCCCAACCTGGAAGGCGCGAGACATCTACTCTATCTTATGTTTCTGTGTATTTCTTCATACCTCGTCTCCATGTCATCTGTTGATTTCTACTTGGTTTCCTCCCGCCCGGAGCGGAAGACGACAGCTGGGCATGCGTGATAGGTGCCCTAAACAGCAAAGCCTAGTAATGGTTGTACAAACAATCGAACAAAACAAAACTATAGTGTTCCTTCCCTATATCTGCTACCGGTCGCTTCAATAGTGCATTTATTGGTAATTCAATGATCTAAACGGTTCATTTATTCCAATGCACATCATCATCAGATTTAACCACAACACCTCCGTCATCTTTTTGTCACCGTCATCACAGCAGTTCCCGCTTGGCCAAACGGATGCAGATCGTTCGTCGTGCCGCTCTTGAAATCGAGCACGGAATGTATGTCAACTTAGGTATTGGTTTACCCACTCTGCTGCCGAGTGTTCTGCTCACAGGAACGGTGGTCCATTTGCATTCGGAGAACGGGGTCATTGGTGTGGGTCCCTATCCGCGAGAAGACGAAGTTGATGCTGACCTAATCAATGCCGGAAAAGAAACGATAACTGTGTTGCCCGGAGCTTCGTTTTTCTCCTCAGTGGAGAGTTTTGAAATGATTCGTGGGTAGGTTGATCAGACGTTCATTGATAGTTTCATCCATCCATCCACCTGTCCACATACATATCTATGTTACGTTCATTTACTCTT